TAGCATTTCGTTTCTCTGATATTTCGCATACATAGCTGAAATTTCTGAAGTTAGTATTTTCGTTCTCTAGGCATATTGGGATAACGAGAGAAGTGGTCATATTCTCGGAAACTGAAATTATTCTTTTCTGAAAATCGCATTTCCATTCTATCTCGCAAAATTTTTTTTGGAAACCGAATCTTGCGAAGCCTACCAATATTGCGTTAGGCATATTCGGAGGTTGCTATATTCTCAGAAACTGGATTTCGTTCTTTTCTGAAAATCGCATCTTTACTCCATTTCGCAAAAAWAAWATTTCAAGATCGCAGTTTGTAAAAGCCGAAACTTTGCGGAACCTTGCGTAGATCTCGTTCATAATACTCTTCTGACATATCCTACTCATCATAGATCAACAGATATATATAAAAAAAAAAAAAAAAAGGAAGTAGTCCTCTTTTATTTTTATTTTATCTGTTGATTAGGGCCGGAGGAAAGTCTTGTCGGGTTGGTTACCTACCTCCGTTTTCCCTCCCATCCACCCCTTGCATGCATCCCGGTTCGGTACAGTGCCACGTCAGCAGCGCCACGTCACCGTGCCAGATCAGCAGTGCCACGTCACAGTGCCAGGTCACAGTTCCAGATCAGCAGTGCCACGTCAGCAGTGCCACGTCAGCAGTGCCAGGTCACAGTGCCACGTCAGACTCAGTGCCACGTCAGCAGTGATGTCAGACAGTGCCACGTCAGCAGTGCCACGTCAGACAGTTTCACGTAAGCAGTGCCACATCAGCAGTGCCACGTCAGACACAGTGCCACGTAAGCAGTGCCACGTCAGACAAAGTGCCAATTCAGCAGTGCCACGTCAGCAACATGACGGGCCTGCCAGGCAACCTGCCCAATGAGTCCCTTGCAGCCTACAAGCAGCGGTTCCAGGCTCGGATAGAGGCTGAGGAACAACGCCAGCTGGCAGCCGAGGCTGCCCGCGTACAGGCTGAAGAGGCAGCGGCAGCAGAGCAGCTGCAGCTACAGGCCGATGCAGACGCAGATGCCCAGGCTCGCCGCAAGGAAGCCCAGGATCTGCTGCAGCGGCATGAAGCCAACAGCATCGACAGACTCAAGTTCTGGCACTTTGAACCGAACGGCGACGAGGCAACACCGGAAGAGAAGCACGAGTTCCTCTCCAAACTCGTGACAAGGTTGTTGTACGCTTGCAACTACCAACGGTCAGAGTTGGAGAGACAGTACCAGGACCTGACGCAACAGCATCAGGAGTTGGCAAAGCTCCGCCGCATAGTGCAGAGCCACGAGGATGCAACTCGGGCACTCAATGCCCGATTGCTGGACATGGAACAGACTGTACCAGGACCAGCCCAACTGCTGGGGCTTCCAACAGTGCACCCTCTAGCCGCCAACTGGAGGACCGCGTTGAGCACGTAGTGGCAATGCTCGGCGACATCAGCACCTTCGCTGCGCCGACCACCACCATCAGCAGTCAGCTGCATACATTGAAGACCGAGGTCCAGCAGCTGCAGACGACGAACGCGGATGGCAATCCGACGATGTATAAGATGCCAACTTTCAATCTGGAGAGGTTCGACGACTACACGCAGCAGGATCCGGTCCTCTGGTGGGAAGCATTCACAACGCAACTCAGGATTATGCCCGTAGCCAAGCATGCGTACATCGGCGCCCTGTTTTGAACTGAAAGGGCGGATGCCAGACCTGGTTGAGCCGCCTGGCAACCTCCCACGGCGTCGACGTACCAGACTTGAAGGACAAGATCACATGGGAGGAACTGACACGGCTGTGGAAGAAGCGGTTCATCGTCGACGACACGCCGACACTCGCCATCAACCGTCTATTCACCATGTCACAGGGCAACACTGCAACACGGGACTGGCTCACATAGTGGCAGAAGATTGCGGCAGTTCCCAATCTGGAGCTGCCTTTCACTCATCTGAGACGTGAGTTCTACAACAGGTCCTGTGCTGCATTGAGCTAGGCTCTTGGTGATCGCGAGCAGTACTCAACCTTCGCGGAGATCATTGACAAAGCGAGGGAGATCATCAAGACCAACAGGTCAGCTGCACACGAGAAATCAACATCATGGCAGCCGACCTATGTGGAGAAGGTACGAACTGGTCCGCGACAGCAACACTTCGCTGCAGTCCAGCAGGACAGTGGAGATAACCCAGCAGCCACTCCAGCATCAAGTGACGGAGATCAGGTGGCTGCTGTCCAGCCACGAAGCACCAACAAGTTCCGCAAACATGGGAAGGCGAAATCCGCATCGCAGGCCGGAAATGGACAGCCAGTACAAGTTCCATGGGTCAAGTTTGGCTTGACCGAGGCGTAGTACAAGGTCTGTGGCCTCTACGGCAGCTGCTACTGGTGCAACAGCACCAAGCACAAGACCTCCCTGTGCCAAGATCAGGGCAAGGAGGATGTGCGACCCTGCCTCAACTCGGGAAACTGAGCTCCGCAGAAGGTGTGGCGACTCCACCTTCTACTCCGCCAGATTCGGCCGCCTTGCTAGCGGCCTCCTGCACATCTGGGGAGAACGCGAATGTCGCAAGTCCTCGGTACACGTACGAGGACTATGCTGTCCACTTGGTTCCACTGCTGGACCAACCGCTCCACGTGGAACAGTCCACCGCATGCACGGTTTCATCACCATCGGCAACCGATTCGGCAGCTTCGCCGCAATCTATCGCCGGGGATTCGACGTCATGGTCAAAACTTGAAGAGCTCGACCCATTGACGTTCAAGGACTTCCAGTGGATGCCCGTTCCCTCGACCGGACGATTGTCGAAACTGCATTGCAACGTGCTTATGGCACAATTGCGGGACTACTTGCACACTGCAGTACCAGCTCCGTTGATGGACGCCGGAGCAGAGGTTGTCGACCTTCTCACGAACATCGCGAAGATCGACCGTGAGTTCAAGACGCAAAGGTACGGCGACCCCGACGCACCATTGCTATACGTACGCATTCAGATCGGAGAGGTGACCTGCAGTGCCTTGATCGATTGCGGAGCAACTCGCAACTACATCAGCCAGGACTTCATGGTACGCGCCGGCCTTGGCCCACTTCTCCGGAGGAAGTCCTAGCCTACGCAAGTCACGTTGGGAGACGGTCATACGCACAAGTCAATCGACTGGTGCATTGACGCCGTCCCGGTGTACTTTGCCCCTCACGCAAGTGAGGCGGTGTCCTTTGATATTCTGGACACCAAATTTGACATAATCTTGGGCATGTCATGGCTGCGAAGCGAGGATCACCCGGTGAACTTCTTCAAACGCACCGTTCGCATTCGTGATCGGAACGGAGTATTAGTTCCATGCACGGTCCCCCTTTCTCATCATTCGATCAGCTGCCACTTGGTATCCGCCGCAAGCATGCGAGTTTCCATCATCAGAGACGACATCGAGGAGATGGGGGTGTGTTTTCTCCACGCCCTCCCGCCCCATGATGCTTCATCAACGGACTCACCTTCGGATCCACGCATCACCGAGCTTCTCGACGCCTATAGCGACGTGTTCGAAGGCCCGCACGAAGTAGTACCGGATCGACCCATCCGCCACGAGATCATCCTCGAGGACGGGGCCGTACCTCCGCACGGTTGCATCTACCGAATGAGCGAGGAAGAGTTAAGTGTGCTTCGGGCACAACTCGACGACCTTCTGGAGAAAGGCTGGATTCGGCCTAGCTCATCGCCATACAGTGCTCCTGTTCTCTTCGTCCGAAAGAAGAACAAGGACCTGCGGTTGTGCATCGATTATCGCAAGCTCAACACGCAGACGATCAGGAACGCCGGCCCTCTCCCACGCATCGATGATCTTCTCGAGAGATTGGGCGGCGCCCAATTTTTCTCTAAGCTGCATCTCAAGTCAGGGTACCACCAACTCGAGATTCGCAAGGAGGATCGCTACAAGACCGCGTTCAAGACACGGTATGGCATTTCGAATGGCTGGTTATCCCATTTGGCCTTACGAATGCCCCGACCACTTTTCAAGCGGCTATGACAATGGAGTTCCGACACATGCTGGATCGATACGTACTTATCTATCTCGACGACATCTTGGTGTACAGCCGGAGTTTGGAGGAGCGTGTGGAACACCTGCGCACCCTTTTGGAGAGGCTACGACAGGCCAAGTACAAAGCCAACTGCAACAAGTGTGAATTCGCGCGGCAGGAGCTGGAGTACTTGGGCCATTATGTGACGCCGCAAGGCATCCGTCCGCTCG